GAGAACTATAATCTTGATATTCAAGAAGCCAGTGAACAGCAAGGAGGATTTTTAAAAAATCACATCAAAGCATATCTAACTTGTTGAAAACAAGTTAGAAAAAGAAATTCTAAAAAAAAAAATTCAACTAGATAAAGACACATGGTGTACCAAAGGACAGAAATTAGAACCACAAATATTTCTCAGAAATAGCACAAGCCAGAGGATGAAGCAATCTTTGATGTTCAAAATTTTTTAAACTTTTAATTGTATATCTTATTAAATTATTTATTTATTTTTGTTGTAAGAAGCATGTGTTTGCCTTAGCATATGTGTGGCAGCCAGAAGACGACTTGCAGGAAGCATTTCTCCAACCTGGAACTCTATATTTAAGGAAAATATCCTTAAACAATGGAGAGAAAAATCAAAGCATGTTCCATACAAACAGGCTGTGGTAATTCCTTGCCACAGTCTGTAAGAAGTTATTGAAAGAGTTTCCTGGCTGAGGGAATAGGAAAAAAAGTAAGAATAAATATGAAGCACATTTGCTCTCATTGTTCGGTGTCTTTGAAAAACGTTGAAGCCAGAAGACTCCCATTTCCCGCTAAGATGGAGTACGATATAAGATGGAGACACACGTGTGGGTGTGTCTTAGCTAGGGTTATTCTTGTTCTGAAGAGACACCATGACCTATGGCAACTCCCATAAAGGAAAATATTTAATTGGGGTGGCTTGCTTACAGTTTCAGAAGTTCAGTTTATAAACATCATGGTGGGGAGCATGGCGGCATGCAAGCAACATGGCCCTGGCTACATCTTGATCAGAAGGTAACATGAAGTGTCTGTCTCCATGGCTGTGACTTGAGCATATATGAACCTTCAAAGCCCACGTCCATTGTGACACACTTCTTCCAACAAAGCCATACCTCCTAATAGTGCCACTCTCTCTGGAGGCCATTTTCTTTCAAACCACCACAGGGTGAGTATAAGAACAATATTTTAAGTAACAGTTTGAAGATATTAACTAATAGGCAACAAGACTGGGCAGTTAAGTCAAGTGCCCTCCACAATTACTCTGGATTACTGACTGGAAGGGACTGTAACCTCAGTGCAGGGATGTTAGCACATGCTGGTAATCCCAGCTCTTGGGAGGCTGAGACAGGATAAGAAGAAAGTGCATGGAGGACAGAGATGATTTTCCAAAGCACTTAAGATATTTCTAAAAAATAAAACACTGAAACATTAAAAATATTTCCACTTGCCAGATCCTGTCTCAAAAAATAAAAGCATCCATTAATTATATTGCAATTACTTAGAAATACATTTTAATTTCTTTTGAAATATTTATTTGTTTTTATTTTATATGTCTGGATATTTTTCTGCATGTGTGTATATGCACCAGGTGTGTGCAGTGACCTCCAAGGCCAGAAGATGGCATCAGATCCCCTGGATCTGGAGTTACAGGTGGTTTTGAGCCACCACACATGTGCTGAGTCCTCTGTAAGTATAGCCAGTCCTCTTGACTGCTGAACCCTGACATACATTTTAGATTATACTGTCAATAACTTTGAAGTATAAAGGACTTGTGGACAGGCTGAAATTTTATGGCTCCTCAATCTGGTTTCCATTGACTTTTGCTCAATAACAGTATAAAATTGACTCTTGTGACAACTATTTGTTCAAGAAAGCTTTTATTTTGGTAATTAAGGGCATTGGGAAAGACTTATGGAGACTGGGAGAGACCTGCACAGGGCGGACTGTGTGGCGGAGGGACAGGTCTGGGCAGGACAGAGTGGGCAGGACATCTTCCCTTTCTATGGAGCCTTTTACAGTGGCCCCTCAGCACAGCTCACTGCACAGTTCTTAGCAACTGCCACCCCTCCCCCTTGGTAAGTGCTTCCTATTAAGGAGAGGTGTAGACAGAAGTTTAGGTGTAGACTGAATGGTCTCAGCCATTCCGTCCCAACAAAACACACAGAGGCTTATATTAATTATAAACTAGTTGGTCTATTAGCTCAGGTTTATTATTAACTAGCTCTTACAACTTAAATTAACCCATAATTCTTATCTATATTTAGTTATGTCACTTGGTACCTTACTCAGTGAGGCATTCTTATCTTGCTTCCTCTGCATCTGGCTGGTGGCTGCATACTGAGCCTTTCCTCTTCCCAGAATTCTCTTAGCCTGGTTGCTCCACCTATACTTCCTGTCTGGCTACTGGCCAATCAGCATTTTATTAAGCCAGTATGAGTGACCAATCTTTACAAGATTTGTAAAGTACAAATAGTACAAGAGGCAGAGTATCTGGGAAAGCCTCAGCTGCTGCTGACAAAAGCCCTGACAACTAATGGGCAGTCCCAGCTGGTAACCAGAAAGCAAGATGGACACCCTACACTTTTCCTTACAGGGACATGGATTGGGGTTTGTGCTCCTAGAGTTTCACTGATCTTTATGAGGGTGTCCTTATGGGATGTCAAGGAGCACATGGGCACAGAGAGAAGCAGTGTCATGGAGGTCTGGACCAGGACAATTTCCTGCTTTGATAAGTGAGATGTCTGCTCTCTCTCTCTCTCTCTCTCTCTCTCTCTCTCTCTCTCTCTCTCTCTCTCTCTGTGTGTGTGTGTGTGTGTGTGTGTTTGTATGTGTGTGTACCCACATGTATGTGCCTGCTATGTCATATATATGGAGCTCAGAAGACAACTTGCAGGAGTAGGTTTTCTTTTTCCTTCCACCATGTGCATTCTGGGGATTGAACATTCTGGGGGTTATCAGGCTTATTGAAAAATGCCTTTAGCCACCTCTCCAGGCCCTGGCTTTAGGTCTTTAGACCACCAAAGACTCTGCTGGTGGAGAGCAGTATTGCCCACTTGACAATATTTGTTTGTGTTGGATCCTCTTTCTTCACTCTGTCTCAGGCTCTGTCCCTTCTTGGCAGTGACTTCTGACCCTCCTGTCTTGGACACAGATTACAGTCCTTATTCTTTGTGCTATTTTTTGCTTTGGATAACACCCATCCTGATTAGGTTTAAGTGGACAGTGGGTGGTGGGGCAGAGGGATGAACACACACCAGAAGGAAATGGATGCCTTCTTGAGTGGAACCTAGGTGGTGCAGAGCCTGAGGAATGCTACAGCCACCTCCCAGTCTTTCTGGGGTAGAGGGGACACAGCAGCTTTTTACTGAGGGGTTGAAGGGCAGAACCCTGGGAGCAAGACTAGGGTTCAGTTAAGGATATGGGTGACAGGCGTTCAATCAAGACTGAAGCCACATTTTTTTTTGAGACACCAGCTCACAGAAAACAATACAGAGACTTATTATTAATTATGAAAGCTCAACCTATAGCTTAGACTTGTCCCACTAGCTCTTATAACTTTAGTTAATTCATTTATATTAATCTACATTTTGCCTCAGGACTTTTCACCTCTCCTTCTGCTCCTCCTATTTCCTCTCTGCATCCTCTAGTGACTTCCCTCTTCTTCTGAGAGATCTCTCTGTCCAGAAGTCCCACCTCTACCTCTTTCCTAGCTATTGGCCATTTTGCTTTTTATTAAATCAATCACGGTAACACACCATCACACAATGTAAAAGAATATCCCACAAGACTCTGCTGGTCTTGGCCATTTGTCTAGCAAATCATGGGTTGTCCAGAAGCTCTGCTGAATGTCATGGACATTTGATCCAGCAGTCAGTAGGGTGCACAAGCCTGAGCAGCTGTTGCAGTTGTGGACATCAGATGACGTTAGTGCCCTGAAACATGCAGGATACTGATGGCCTGGACTGCAGTTTGCACCAGGGTCACCTACTGAAAAGGAAAGTGATCTTCAGCAATGGTTCAGTGTTGAAGGAGCAGCAGGCTGTGTTCCTGCCACCCAGCTCCTGGCCACCTGGCTAGCTTATGCCCCAAAATAACAACACACAAACTGTATTCATTTAAACACTGCTTGGCCCATTAGCTCTAGCCTCTTACTGGCTCTCATATCTTGCTTTAACTCATTTCTAATAATCTGTGTAGCACCAGTCTTACCGGGAAAGATTCAGCATGTCTGACCTGGCGGCTTGCTTCATCACGTCTGCCCTGGAGAGCAGAAGCATGGCGTCTTACCTTACTTCCTCTTCCTCCCAGCATTCTGTTCTGTTTACTCCATCCACCTATGTTCTAACCTATCAGGGTCAAGCAGTTTCTTTATTAATTAACCAATGACCTTCCTCCATCAGTTCAGGAATCTTGGGAATTTTTTTTCCCCATGGAGATGGGATATGAGGTGAGAACCCTTCCTGGGGGGGCTTTTGCTTACACGATGGGGATGTGGAGCAGGGCATCATTTGGGGTGCCCACCCCTAGTGGACTGGTCACAACGTGTCTAGCACACTATGAAATGCCCTCCCAGTGCACTCCAAAGAGGTGAAACAAGTTCAAGGCTTCCGAAGGCAAGAGGTGATTCCTCCATCTAGATTTACGCAGGAGAGCTGACGTAAGTCCTGAGTGCAGAGTCCACCTCTGGTCCTCTCACCCTCGGCATAATCCAGGCTGGAGGACCGATCTGGGCTTTTATTTTCCTGAGCGAGTGAGTTGGTGATCTGCATCTAGCAGGAAAATTCATGATAGGTGGATTAAGTGCAGTCTTGGCCTGGAAGACACCACCAAGTAGTTACTGTAGTTCTCTGCTGACAGGTTTTCTCGCTTAGGAAAGTTCAAGGCCTTTGCCTCTAGTTCGACTTTCTTTTTCTTAAATATTTATTGATTTATTTATTACTTTTATGTGTGTGAATACCGTATGTGTGTTGGTACCCTCAGAGGCCAGAAGAGGGAGTTAGGTCCCCTGGAGTGGAGCTACAGGCACCTATGAGCCACCAGATGTGGGTGCTGGAAATTGAACTCACATCCCCTGGAAGATCAGCAAGGGCTCTTAACCACTGAGCCATCTCTCTGGTGCCTTTAGTTTAGTTTTGTTTTTAGTAATGAAACTCCTTCAAGCAGTCACTCAGATTTATAGGAAACAGAAAACAACTCAGGATTTCACTAACTCTGAAACTTTATTTCATAACTTCACAGAGGTAACATTTAATTTTGCAGTCTGTTGATAATAATGGTGAGGCCATTCACAGGAACAGAAAGCCACATGAAGTCAGGATATAATAGTCAGCTGTGACAATCACATCACTATACTTGGGAACTGTTGAGATGCATATTTCAGAAAGAGAAATCGTCACAGATGATGTCTTAAAAAATGCTTTTCTTACTTCAGAAGAGCAGGTTATCCCTTCAAAATCAAGTCAACTCACGGTCACCAACCAATTCTGGAATATTAGCACAGATGCGAAAGACAGCCCGTGTAAAAGAGCTAGAAATGCTTCCCAATGGTGGGAGCATCACGGCGGGAAGTCTGTTACATCTCTACTTGTTTCCACACTGTTAGAACGGTCGGGAGAGCATGCATTGAGCTGACAACAACTATCACGAAAACGCCAAGGTCCTCAGTGTATCGAGGGGTTTCTAAGTTCCAAACGTTGCTTGAAGTGCTTAAAAGGCATTGTGCCATTTGATCCTAACGGCCACTCGTTTTTAGATAAGGAAACTGATGTACAGAGAGACTAAGCAACTTGGCTTACACTACACAAGAATCTACCACGAGGTTGTGCATGAACTGTGCCAGAGCTATGCCTGGCACGTGACTACGTGGTGTTTGTTTATGGTGTCCCAGCACACTCAACCTGGCACACACACACAAGACGTCACAGCTTTCAAGTCTATGTACAGACACAGAGAGCTTGAAGTATATACACCGATGCCCGCAAATGGGTCAGTCTGGAAAGAAGAGCAAACTTAGTGAACACTGGTGTGCTGAGCCTTGATCCTCAGCACACTTGAAACTCCTTGCCCTGTGTTTGAGATTTAAGGAGTTTGAAACACATTTGCTTAATATCAGTCTTCCACAGAACTAAGGAAACACACTTGAGTGACACATAGCAGGTGGAGGGTGGGTTCCCAAGATCCGTTCTGGGCTTCTGTCTAGGTATCTCTTCTGAGCATTTTGATGCTGAGACCATTTAACCCATTGGACCTCCGCTTCTTTCTCTTTCTAAAGAGTAACGCAGCAACCCCCCCCAACACACACCCCACGAATGCACACAACACCCTACACAGAGTAGACTGCTGCACACATGAAGTGGGATTTATGTGGAACACATTGCATGTTGTGGCCCTCAGTAGGTTGCAAGGTCACTTCCACCAGTTTTAAAGTCTTCATGGTTCAGCAGACCAGAGTGACGGTCACAGCCACTCTGTGCATGTCCAGTTGTGTGCGTGTCTTTGAAAGTCCATCTTTTGCTCAAAGATTTCTCTCTGTAGCTGTGTACCCCTTGGTAACAGACTGGGTCAGTCATCCATGGGTCGTGAGACTGACCCTGCAGCTGGTTCTGCAGCCATCCACATGAAGTAGAAGGAGGTGTGTGTGGAGGGAGACACACTGCCGGTGACATTAGAAACCCAAGGGCACGATGGTCCTAATTCATCTGGTGGAGGAAGGCCTGCCTCCCAGCTCCCCAGATCCCTAGTGTAAGGTCTGTGACTGCTCAGCTATAGAGGACAGCTTGGGGAAGCTTCCAGAGTCTCATAGAATTTGCTGATTTGAGACAGGAAATGTCCCAACAAGCCACTCCACCTCATCTTTCAAACCTGTTTTTTTTTTTTTTAAATAAGGTCAATTCATTCTTCTATGGTATGAGTCAACATTGTTCTACTTGGTGTGGTTTAAGACAGTACATGTATTTGCGTATGTCCGTGAGTGCACGCATGTGTGTGTGTGTGTGTGTGTGTGTGTGTGTGTGTGTATGTGTGTATGTGTGATGATAATGGCTTGCAGGAGTTGATTCTTTTCTTCCACTATGAGGGTCCTGGGGATCAAACCTTCCCGAAGAGGGACATAGAAGAGAAAGCCATGCCTTTTTTTTTTTATTTTTTTTTATTTAGGTAGAGGTTTAGCATGGAAAGAGCAAATAAATAAATAAATAAAGCCCAAAGTACTAGAGAAAGCTTACTTGGGCTTGGGCCCCAGGCAAAAGAACAAGTGGAAGTTACATTTTGTGGTGGCTCTGGAGTGACTATGCAGATCCCAGGGATTCTGGGAAAGAAAAGCACATGATCTCATTAAGGGGATAATTATTCCTCCCATCTCTTTAGCATGGGGTTGGATGAATCTGTCTTCTTAATGGGCAGTCCATTAGTCAGCTGATGGGCCTGCCCAACTGGATTAACTCTTCTATTTTGGTTAGTTTGGAATGTTAGGTCTCCACCTAGGCAAAAGGTAGATAGATTCCACTCTTCTGACCAGAAGGCAATGATTTTCTCTTAATGAGACTCCGAAAAGACCTGATCAAGGCCACTATAAAATTCCCTCCTCTGAAGATATAACCCTAAAATCATTTAGGGGATGGGCTAAAATTGGGGAACAGATATAAGCCATTTTTATCAGGAAAATCTAGAGATCTACTTCTAAAGCAATTTACAAAGTGATTAGTGTCTGGCTGAGGTCCCAGTCCCACCCCAAAGTAACCTCCATGAAGCTGACAACGAGAAATCAAAGCTCCTTCTTGACATTCATGGATCAGAGAGCCAGGGACACTCTTGGAATGCCCCTAAACTGCCTGGCCAGTTTCTTTTCTTTTCTAAAGATTTATTTTACAGGTGTGTGCTGCACATATGCATATGTACCACGTGTGCAGCGCCCAAAGAGACCAGGAGAAGGCGTTGGAGACCCTGAAACTGGAGTTTCGATGGTTGTGAGTCACCATGTGGGTGCTGGGTTCTGAATTCCTCTGGAAGAGTAGCAAGTGTGCTTAACCTCCGAGTCACTTCTCCTGCTCCTGCCTGGCCAGTTTCTATTTCCTGTCCACATCATCTGAAGAGGTTGCCAAGCGACCTGATCAGCTGAGCTACCTGGCTGACCCTGCTGAGCTTAAAGGACACTGAAGTACAGAAGCTTTAGGTATTTTAGGAACTTAGTCATGTATTTACTAACAATCTACTTAAGAGTCCCCCAAACCAATCTACTCAGAGTCCAGGCTATTTTTTTTTCCTCAGAAAGAAAGATTGAGATGGAGCACTCATAGTGGTACGCTCCTCTAATCCCAGGACTCAGCTTGGGAGGCTTTGATGCAGGAAGAGTGCAAACTCAAGGCCAGCCTGGGCTATAAGGTGAGACCCTGTATATATATATATATATATATATATATATATATATATATATATTTATACTTGCTTCTAATGCTTGACTTCAACCCTGTATATTAGAGAAAAAACCCACTGTAATAAGATTAGCCTTGTCAAGCACTGTCCCTGTGTCCACCAGGAGGTGAAAGGGGGCCGGGAAGTCTCTCAGTTATTCCTTGCATTGTCCCAGCGGCGATAGCCCTCTCTTTCCCCTGGCTCCTCCCTGCTCTCATGCTCAAAGTAGGCCTCTTCTTCTTCTTCCTCCCGGATCACCTTCATCAGCTCCAAAAAGGAGGGTAGTGGGCCCTCATCCTTCAGCTCCCGGAGCCGGCACCAGAGAACATTGTTAAGGTTGGCTCCGGCCATGACCTGCTCCAGGCGTACCTGGTCAGCAATGTTCCGGGGAATAGCCCGTTTTTCCACAGCTCTCCGGAGCAGAGTTTCCAACCGGAGCACGTAGGCTGAGATTTTCTCCCCTTCTTGCTGATACGTCTTTAGGTATTTTACCTGCGCGGACCTACGGCTCTCCAGGCTCCCAAACACCTGCTTAAAGGCCTCCAGACACTCTTCCACGCTAATGGAAGCATTGTCTGCCTGGACAATGTGCATGAGGTCCAGGGCGGGGCCACGAAGACTCTCCATCACCCACCTTTTCTTTTCGGCCTCAGGGATGGGCCACTCTTTGGCTATCTCAGTGGCCTGTTCCAACCAGACCTCGAAGGACTCCTCCTCCGGGGCAGGGTCTGTGCTTCCAGAGAACACTCGAAGCTTACAGTACTTCACAGGCAGCAGGGGCCTTGGGGCGTGAACCATTGCCTGCCCCACAAAGTGGGCCAGTAACTCAGGGGATGTGCAGGCTGTGGTAGCCGGAGACACTCCCTGCTGCTTAAGGGCTCGGAACATCCCCGCAACCGTCTGCCCTTCTTTTTCTAGAAACAGGTTCAGTCTCTGGAGAAACTCAGTGTCCTGGTTAGGGGTCTTAAAGATCACTTTCCAGACGCCCCCCTTTCCCTGCACCTCACTGGGGACCACAGACATATCCGTGTCCTCCGTGAGCTCCAGTAAGACAGCGTTGGTGTTGTCTTGCTTCTGGAATAGCTTGCCTAGCAGGCGGTAGTTGCCCACACACTTGAGCGCCTCCTGCAGGACCGCCTGGATCTCAGGCTCACCACAGTTCACTGGTATGCCCGTCACCATCAACGCCTTCTGGTCATCTACACTCATGATCTCGCACCAACCCTCCAGCAGGGCCACTGCCATCCTCCCAGGCTATGCTTTTACACTTAGGCCCGGCCTGGCTCACTCCTGGAGCAGCTCAAAGCCTTGTGGATCAACGCTTTGTCCTTTGACTTAGTCTCAAGAAGCAGGCGCTTCCCGTGTGTCTTCAGACCCACGGCAAGTTTGATGGGTACTACAGTTACCTGTGGCTCTGAAGTGGGTTTGCTGCTCGTTCCTTTTGAGAGCTGGGGACAGCTGTGTGGCGCTGATTCTTGTCACTGCGAGGCACTTGGAACAACTGCTTTTCCCATCTCCTGCTTACTGTCACTTTGGCTCTCTCCGGTCAGTGGAGAGGTGGCTTCTACTGTAGCTCAAACCTCTGGGGAGTCACACAGCAAGATGGTGGGGATGCCTAGGGAAACAGAGGTTCATTTTACTACACAGACCTCTACTTCCCAGGACACACCCACATTCTAGTTTGGAATGGAACTAGGGGTGGACCAAAGGCTATGACTCCCATTGTACCTGTGTCTGACCACTCTGTTGAATGGTCTTTGCTCACTGTACCCTTTCCCTGTGGGGACCAGCTTGAATCCTGTCTCTCCATCCTGAAGCCCCATCAGTGGGTGGGATTCAAGACCTTTACCAGTCGAAAGATGAGATTAGGAGACATAGTTAAATACCTGTTTATGTGTTCCAGAATGTTCCTCAAGAATCAAGGAGCCATGTATTCAGTTTCCAGCTCAGGAAGATGTCTCCCACTTCTATATAATAGTCTGTATGCGTCTTCACTTCACCCAAATCAAGCTGTCCTGTTATACACAAACATGAATAATGTGTTTTTAGGCCTAAAATCTAGTAATAAAGATTAATGCACGTATTAAAAATCTAACAGTTCAGTAAAGCATGAAAAAAGTGACAGACATGAACAATTTAATGAAACATCCTAAATAAGATAGTTGCTATATTTTAATGAAGAAAAAGCCCACCTAGTTCTGGGGATGCTCGTCGGTCCAAAGAGTACTTGCCTAGCGTACAGGCAGGAAGCCTGGAGTTCAATTCCCAACACCATGTAAACTGGGCTTGGTGGTACATGCCTGAAATCTCAGCATGTGGGAGGTGGAGGCAGGAGGATCAGGAATTTAAGAACATTCTTGACCACATATGGAGTTTGAGGCCAGCCTGGGCTACATGAGAACCATCTTTAAAAACAACTTCAATTGCACCATGTGAGATGGCACCTCCAGCATTTGTGGAGATGAGGCAGGAGGATTGCAAGTTTGTAGTCATTCTGGGCCTCATAGGGAAATCTTGGCTCAAAAGGAGAAGAAAAAGATATAAACAGAACTAAATGGAATTAGTCAAACATTTAAAAATGATTTTTAATGGGTATAAGAGAAAAGTCGAATCTCAGAAAAATAAGTGTACTTTGGAGTTAGGAATCCTTTTGCTGTGTCTAGCATGGCTTTTAAGTGTTACTCTGGTAAGTTGCCAACCCAAGTCTTCCTGTGGTGCTTTCAATGAAAATGGGCCCCATAGCTCATGTCTTCAAATGCTTGGTCCTTAGTTGGTGGAACTCTCTAGGAAGGATTTTGGAGGTGTGTCACTGAGGGTGGGAGCTGAGATTTCAAAATCCCACACCAATCCCACGGTCAGTCTCTGCACCTTGTGTTTGTAGATCAGATGCGAGCTCTCAGCTACTGCTCCAGCACCATGCCTGCATGCCTGCTTCTATGCTCCCAGCCACAACGGTCATGATCTGGCTCTCTGAGGCTGTAAGCTCCCATTAAATGCTTTCTTCTATAAGTTGCCTTGGTCATGATACTTTGCCACAGAGATTGAAAAGTAACTAAGACACTTCCTTATTTAAATTTGACTGGGTCATTCAGAGAAAGGCAAAAAGGGAAAAAAAAAACACCAAAAAAACCCGAAAAAAACCCAAAAGCATACCCACTGCCGAGTGAATTATCCACGAAGCAACTTGCTCTGCAGGGAAAGGGAGACCTACGAATGTAAAAGGGTTCCTATGACAGCATGGTCACTTACTCACGGGGATGCCTTCCTAACAGGCTGAACATCACAGAGTGCACTTATGCAAGCTAAGATATCCACAATGTCACCAGACCACATGAATTCTTTTTTAAAATTAATTTGATGTGCATTGGTGGTTTGCTTGCATGTATGTCTGTGAGGGTGTTGGATCCTGTGGAAATGGAGTTACAGACAGTTGGGAGACTCCATGTGGGTGCTGGGAAATGAACCTGGGACCTCTGGAAGAGCAATCAGTGCTCTTAACCACTGAGCCATCTCTCCAGCTCCAGACTGTGCATTCTTATGGAGTCACTGTGGTAAGCCAACTGTGGTGTTCGAATGTGGTGCTTGCCAGTGCCTCCCAAGGCCTTTGTAGAGCATACATTAGGATGCCACAGCCATTTCTCCCTTTAGCCTGAACGTTTCCCATCAGTCTGAGGGAGGCCCTATGCCATAGATGCTAGCCATAATTATGGCAGGAGCTGCCTCAGAAGCAGCTTCAGTCTTTCTCGGAGGTACTAAAGGTTGGTCCAGTGCCAGCAGCAGGAGGACAAGATGCTGCCTTACCCTGTGCCTGGGAGCATGGGGACCGGGAACTCCAGACCAATCCAGGCCTGAGATCTTCTTGTAGGATAGGGAGTGAACTTCCTTCTCTTGGTGTATTTGGAGGAATCAGAAGTGTAAAGGGCACTGGAGGGGCTAAGAGTGACACTCAAGTCGGTAGAGCGCTTGCCACCATGCATGAAACCTTGAGTTAGACAAGCCAGGTCGAGTGGCATGTGCCCATTACCCCAACCCTTAAGAGCTGAAGGCAGGAGGATCAGAAGTTCAAGAGTATCCTTGGCTACACAGGGAGTTTGAGGTCAACCTGGGGTTACATACAGGACCTCGTCTCAGAAACAACAAAAACAGCCAAACAAAGGCACTGAATGCCCAGGTCCACAGAAAAATTGTCATGCTAAAGTTGGCTAGCTTTTGAGGCCTTTCACCTACAAGGGATGGCCTTAAAACAAAACAAAACAAAACAAACAAACAAACAAACAAACTGAAAACCCTGAGTGTCTGGAGAGACTGCTCTGTGGTTAAAACCACAGGTTTAGTCCCTAGCACCTATATAGTGGCTCACGACCTTCTGCAACTTTAGTTCCAGGGGATCTGACACTTTCTTCTGGCCTACAAGGGCTCAGGCATGCATGTGGTGCATGTACATATATTCAGGCAAAACACACACACACACACAATGAAAATTACTCCCCACTCCAAGTTTAAGACCCTAAATGAAACACCCTTGATGTACAAAGGGTCACGAAGGAAATGTTTAGATGTGAGAGAATACAAGCATTTTGTATTTTTCTCATACAGAGGGGTCTCACAGGAACCAGGCTCCAGGGGTCAAAGACCCGGCTTGAATCCAACCTGACATATGACCTTAGGCATAGCCCCTCCTAAACCAGTGTCCAACCTTGGAAGGCCAGAAGGACCAAATCCTTCATCTCACAGGGCTTTGGTGAAGCATTGGAAATTTTAGTGGAAGCTTTTGTTAAAATGCCAAATGCATCGGGTGCTAATGTCCAAAGGGCCACATATGGTGCTCTCAGCTCCTACATAAGTTCGGGGTGGGGTGTGTGTGTGTGTGTGTGTGTGTGTGTGTGTATGAACTGTGACTCTCCATCCATCAAGGTATCTCCAGCAACTGGGGGCGTTGATATCCACATACAATCCTTCCCTAAGCAAAGGCTGACAATGGAACTGATTTCTTGGTCACACCGCCCTGTGAGAATACACTGCAGCAAACTGTCTGTCATAGACCAAACCCTTTTTCCTTAGTGAGCATGCTCAGATCTCCCTCCAGGGTCCCTAAAGGGTGGGCAACACTTCTGCTGGTTTCAACCACTCTGGAAAAACAGAGGCGGCTTAAATCCACCAGAAACAGGACCAGAGGCTGGGAAGAAGCCAGGAAGGACCCAAGATTAGAGTGCGGGCTGGAAAAGCCTCCAAGCTGGGGACCGTGGCTGGGCCGCGTGCGCACACACGCGCGCGCGTGCACACACACACACACACACACACACACACACACACGTACACACGTACACACATCCTCAGATCTTTACACACTTTGGCTGCGCATAATTCACAGTATGTAATCCTCCCCTAAACCATGATCGAGCTCTACCCTCAGCGCAAAGCGCTGCGGTCCTAGAGAAACAGCATCTGGCAGCCGCGGGGCTCTGGCGCAGTGTGCAACAAGGGCGGGGGGAGCTAGGCGGGACGCCCTGAAAACAAGATGTGTCTGGAGTGGGCTCAGTCTGCCTAGTTCCCAACCATTTTGGGTGGTGGTGGTGGTGGTAACCAGGTGTGTGTGGGGAGGGGGCGGTGAGTGGGTGTGTGTGGTGGAAGATACCAAATCCAGACCCTCTTGGGCCTTTCCTGGGGCAGTGGCCAACCTGCAGGGCTTGGGACTTTCAGATAATGTTGAGGGTCCTCAGTCTCTATGTTGAGGTGCAGTGCTGCGATTCGCAACCTGCATTCTGCTCTAGACCCCCAAGCACCACAGACCTGCTTCTTTCTCCGGGTCATTCCTCCCTTTCGCTACGCCCCTCTGCTTTCTTCGTCCCCGCCATGTTGTGAGCCCCACCTTCTACAGGAGCAGCTGCAAGCAGCAAGAATATCCTCCTTTTTCTTCTGCTCCTTGAAGTCTTCCCCCGACAGTCCCCCACAGAATCCAGGTCGGGGGTAAACTGAAGCTTTGGTGTCGGGTACTTGGGTGTCTGAAACCAGCCCTTGCTGTTTCCAGGATCACCCCTCCCCAGAGCCTGCAGGCTTGACCCTAGGCTTCCCCAACCCTCAGCCCTCACCCAGGGACAGGGGAGCTCCAGAGCCACCTAAGCAATGCAGCGAGGCAGGTGGAAGAGAGAGACTCAGGGTTAGGTTCTGCACCCTCCAGTCCTCGCCCAGCTGTAGCTTGTCCGACACTCACCCTGGCGCCGAGAGCGGTCTGCCGGGCGGCCGCCGCGCATCCATTAGCGGGTGGAGTGACCGCTTCACTTCCGGAGCGCGGGCTCCGGGTGCCCCCCACCCTCTTGTACCCTCCCTTTCTCGTCCCCTCCCCCTGGGTTCCCTCCTTCCCTCTCCCCTCCCTCCTGATCGCGCGTTCAGCCCGCCCCGCCCCGCCCCGCGTTGCCGGGAACTGGCCTCCTCTGCCGCAGCGACCGCCCGCCCAGATCCAACTTTGCCGCTCGCTCGGAGGTGGCGCGGCGGCGCCGGGGGGCGTGGGCAGGGAGGGAGAAAGCAGGGTCAGGAGGAGGGACCGGGAGGGGTGGGTCGCCGGCTCGCCAGCCCTCCATCCTTTCTGTGCACCTTGCGGTAGGCAGGGAGCGGCAGCAGCGGCGGCGGCAACGAGGGGCTAGTGCACACCCAGCCAGGGAGACTTAGGGAACCACGGACGGACGGAGAGGACCCTCCCCAGCGCCCCCCGAGTCATGGCCGAGAGAAAGCAATCTGGGAAGGCGGCAGAGGATGAAGAGGTCCCTGCTTTTTTTAAAAACCTGGGCTCGGGCAGTCCCAAGCCCCGGCAGAAATTCTGCGGCATGTTCTGCCCGGTGGAAGGGTCCTCGGAGAACAAGACCATCGATTTCGATTCGCTTTCGGTGGGCCGGGGCTCGGGGCAGGTGGTGGCTCAGCAGCGGGATGTCGCCCACTTGGGCCCGGACCCGCACCGGCAGAGCCGGCGTGCCAGCGGGGAGCCATCTGTTGAATCGGGCCGGAAGGTGGAGATCCGGCGGGCCTCGGGCAAGGAAGCCCTGCAGAACATCTACGATCAGGTTGGTATGGGAGGGTGGGGACGGAAAGTGGGGCTGAACCCTGGCATCTCGCGGAGGACCGAGCATCCCGCGTGGCGGCCGGCACGCGGCTCTTGGAGCTCTGCCTCCCGCATCTGCACGCGCACCGCGCCCTGCCCGCCCCTTCACCGCGCAGGGTGCGGCGAGGCACGGGTTCGCCGGTGGGCGTCTCAGCGCCCACAAAGGCTGCCCTCGCCTCCTTGTGCCTGGGAGGTGGGGAACCCGAGTCAGGGACCAGCTGATCCCTGAGCTAGGGGCGACGAGTGGCGATTGGGGTGGACCACTGTGCTGTTCTTAAATCCTCCCGGGCGGCATCCGATTGCAGCTGTGGCTCAGTGCCCCACCCTTTTTTGATGCAGCTCAAAGAGCGCAGGGGAGGGCTGCAGTGAAGGCCAGAGGACTTCCCTGGGGTCGAAGGGGGAAGGGGCTCACAGGACTCCTCGAACTGGCAAGGTCTCCGCCTTGGGAGCGCTTCGCACCAGGGTCCTGTGCTCTGAGTCAGGACCACGGCCAGCGCCCCGAGCCTGTCACCAGTGCCTGGACTCGGTTCACAACCAGTGAAGAGTCGGGGAGGCCGTGATGTCACCAAGAAAAGCTAGATAGCCCAAGTGCAGAACAAAGTTCTGCTAAGTGTCTCGGCAAGGGCTTCCCAGCGTGCTTCCCCAGCGCTGTTTGGGAGGCACTTTGGGAATGGGGAGAGACTACGTGGATTATAGTCAAAGAGCCAAAAAGAAAAGGAAAAAGAGGATGGGAGGGGAAGACTTGCATTTGAAGACAAGACTCCCTGATTGTGTTAATGTTGAGACAAAGAAGGCTAGTTTGGTTAGTTATCCGCGGTCACAGAAAATGTTTGACATGGTCCGGTAAATCCCAGCAGTGCCCATTTCAAATTCACTCGTCTTTTCACGCACATTTTCCTCCGTTACAGGGCAACATTTATGCTCGTGTATTTTTTCACAGTTTTTTAATGTCTCAGCTGATCATTTACAGTGTACAGTGCCTTAATACTCGATTGCTGTTTCTCTCCCATGCCCGTGGTGAAGATAAGAAGCCAATCTATGAATGACTTTATACTGAATTCCCACGTGCCTTCCCTTCCAGGGCAGGAGGAAGGTTAGTCCTAAAGGTGCTTCCATTCAGACAGCCACTGGAGAAATTGGGGGCAGTTTGTACATGCTCACTGCAGGGCTTGCCCAGCATTCATGTTGTATGCTACAGAGAAAGCCTCAGAGAGCATCTCTGGGGGCAATGATTGGGGTCCGTTTCCCAACACAGCAGAGTGTTCGGGTTTTTGACTTTCCTAGAACCACTTCTATCCAAAAAAAAATTACTTAATTTACAATCACCCACCCATCCTCTGATTTTTAATTTTATATTACACTAAGAGGCAACCAGAATCTAAATCCAAAAAGCTTGTTTTGTTCCAAGTGATCAATTGAACTAAAAAGTTTCTTCTTTCTTTTCTTTTTTTGCTTTTTCTTTGCTCTCTCTTCTTTCCTTTTCCTTTCTTTCTTTCCTTTTTTTTTGAGACAGAGTCATCTCTCTCTGTAGTTGAGACTGGACTTGTACTCAGACAATCCCAGTCCTCCTGGGTGCTGGGATTACAGATGTGAGCCACCATGACCAACAGCTCCATCTATCTATCTATCTATCTATCTATCTATCTATCTATCTATCTATTATCTATCTATATATCTATCTATCTACTACCTGTCTATCTATCCATTTATCAATCTATCATCTATCTATTATCTATCTATCCATCTATCAATCTATCATCTATCTATCCATCTATCATCTATTTATCAATCTATCATCTATTTATTAGCTATCTATCATCTCTCTATCATATATTTAACTATCATCCATCTATCTATCTATCTATCTATCTATCTATCTATCTATCATCTATCCTTTCTTTCTTTTGTGGTGCTGGAGCCTGAACCCAGGAACTAGTGTGTGCTAAACAATTGTTCTATTACTGAGCTACATCCCTAACCCAAATGTTTCCATATTGTACCTTATACTGAAAACAGGGTAAGTATAAAATGAGTCCTTGTGGGAGTATGTTGGTGAAAGTCAAGACCACATAGTACAGGGGTTGAGTGAACACTCCCAAGTCAGACATACGGGTCATTCCAACAGCCTGGAGGGAACAGAACCACATCTGGAGAGTCCACAAGAGAACACGTAAAGATGGCAGATGAGATGACCCCTGTGTAACAAAGGCAGCATATTAACACTCGAATCTGAAGGGCAGCTTCACTGGCTGTAAGATCAGGAGTGATTGTGGGAACACACCCTAAATTGAGCAAAAACTCTAAATTGCAAATCTAGGGAACATAGAGGAGGCAATTTGAAGGTGAAAGCACCAGTCCAAATCCCTGCAAACCCATCTCTGCCTCACTTTCCTGGTCATTAGCTCTAGAGGTCGGTTCTGGCTCAGTCTTTCTGCAGCCCTCTCTGGTTCATTTATCACAAAAGGGACATTCCTGTGGGATTTTGTCATTTATAACTAGGGACAGTTACCCAGCTTGGTGCTTGCAATGTATGAATTTTTCATGGTTCACAAGAGGATGTGCATATACGTATAACGATGGTGACAGAAAGCACAATTAGTTGGCTCAATGTTTTGACAGAATCAGTGGTCATTATTTAGGGTCATTACACTCATGAGGAGAGTGTCTCCAGGCTTTCAAGGAATTCTTCTAGAAGCTCTGGCACAGAGGAGGGTGGGTGGATTGGGTTATGCCCCCTTCTCCTCCCTTGAATCTTTGTTTGTAAGGGGTCTTAAGAATGGTCAGAGTTGCCAGGTATGACAGCACACACCTTTAATCCAGCATTGTGGAGGCAGAGGTAAATGGACCTCAGTGCATTCAAGAGCAGTCTGGACTACACTGTGAGTTCAAGGTCAGCCATGGCTGCTTAGTAAAGTCCTGGGGAGGGGGAGAGAGAGAGAGAGAGAGAGAGAGAGAGAGAGAATATAATCTCTTTGAGGGCACACACACAATGACATTGGGAATCCCTATCAAACCATACATCATAAAGGTCTGTCTCCCTGAGAATCCAGGCTTCACATACAAACCTTTGAAGGACCCTCAGTGTTTAGCCATGGCGGTTGTCGGCTTGCCAGTGAACAGTGGTCTTCGAGCCCCACCTTTTCTCCTGGGATTCTTCTCTTCCATTGGAGATACGGTTAGGTCAGAAACATTCTCTCATCCTGGGATTCTGGATGCTGAATCCCTTTCAAAGAACTTCCAGGCCCATTTAGTCATGAACAACATGTGTAGACTACAGAGGTAGGGAAGTAAGTGTCCTCAGGTCCAGGGCAAAGGCCAGTGAGTGGGTTATGTAGACCTCTGCTGAGCTTGGCTCAAACATATCCCCAAGATACTTGTTGGAAACTTAATTCTCTGTGTGGTCCCATGCTGGGAAGCGAGGCCGGTGGGAGTAGCCTCCTCTTATGCTTGTCAGCACTGATGATACAAAAGCCCGAGACTCTTGAGTTGCGTCGCTTTTCCTCTTTTGCCAATGTGACGCTTTCTACCATGTCACATGGCAATGGTGTGCAACCTCAGTCTTAGACTTCCCAGCTTCTAGATTCAAGCACCAAGTGGAATTCTTGTCTAGAACTGGGGAGATGGCTCAATCAGTAAAGGGCTTGCTATAAAAGCCTGAGGCCTGAGTGAATCACCAGTGCCAGCAGAAACACCTGGATTTGGGCTGGGCATGGTGCACAGCCCTTGGGAGGCAGAGGCAGGCAAACCTCTGTGAGTTCAAGGCCAGGCTGTCCTATGTAATATATTCCAGAGCAGCCGTGGCTATACGGTAAGATGCTGTCTCAAATCAAAGCAGTGTTTTGTGGCGGTGTGCCTTGGTAATCTCCGAGCTGGGGAGGAACAGTTGGGAAGATCCCCGCGGCTTACAGCCAGCTGCCCCAGTCAAAGCAGCAAGCCCTAGGGCTCAGTAGGAGGCTTGTCTCAATAAGGAATATGGATGCCTGAGGCCATCCTCTGACTTCCGCACACATGTGTATACACATACAGTCACAATACATGATTATGCATGCATATCTGATCATATGCATATAAATAAACACATAATAGGATAAAATAAAGAGCAAGGAAAATGTCTTTGTTATAAGTTACCCAATTCAGGTATTCTGTTACAGTAGCTCATAAAATGGATCCAGACAGTCACCACGCCTATACAATGGTTTCTAATATTTCCTTCCATCCTGGATTCATATCCCCTCTCCCCAGAGTGACTATTTCCCAGTCCTAGGTTCCCAGTGTTCCACAACACCATCCCTACCCCATCCTCCTAGGGTGCCCCCTTCTTCCTCCAAAGGGCACCATGTTCTAAATTCCCTCTCTTCCCCTTTGTCCTTCCCTCTCCTATTCAACCTTCTCAAATCTCACCTACAGAGAAAGCCTGATGGCTACATTGTCCACACCTGTGTAAGTGGCGAATAACCAAGCTGTCCTTTGAGATGCTTGTGCTATGGCAGACGTGTAGTGGAGGTTTGGCTGGGAGCCTAGAACCAGGCCAATAACTTGATGCTCTTAGTGGTCCTCCTGCCTCAGCCTCCCCAGTGCTGGGATCACAAGTGTGCCTCTACTTTCAGCTCTCACCTGGATTCTGCGGGTCAGCTTGCAAGCTTCTATAAGCTGCCTTACCATGGCGTCTCTTCACAGCAACAAAACAGCAAATAAGAGAGGCACATATGATCTCCAGCTCTTAACCAACTGAACCATTTCCCCAGTCTTCTTTCTTCGTCCTAAAGCTTTTTTTTTTATAATTCTTTAAATTATAACAAATCATTGGTAACTTAAAAATCCTTGTTCAGCTAGTAGATGTGCAATGAACAAATTAATTGTGGGAGGCAGGGCAAAGAAACAAAAGGTCGAACTCAGATGAGACAAGATTCCCCAGCCTTTTGCCTCAGGCCTAAGTTGAGCGAAAGTCTTCCAAAAGTCTTC